TAGGATGATGCAATCAGTTCTGACCTTAGTTCATTTCAAATCAATATGAATCACATATATCTCAGCCTTTTGAAGTCAGATATATTTTAATACTTGGTGATTTCAAGTTCTTAGTGCTTTTAAACCTTAAGCACACTTTAGTTAAGTCATTTTTCCAGAGCCCTTGTGGGAAGGGTTTTGTTTTGAATTATTTTTTTCTGTTGGTGTGTTCTTAAAACACTATTTCCTTTTTCCAGAAATAACTCCAAATGAGCCTAGTTACACCCAGCAGGATTAATCCTCCTAAATGTCACCATTATAACAGCAATAAAAATGTACAGAAGAAAAACACCATTGTACATGAACTTGATGCAAGTTAGGAAAACTTGTCTCTAATCCACTTGTCTGAGAAATCCTTGGACAGTTGTTTTTCTCTCTTGTTCCCTCAAAAACCAAAACATAGTTGTTGACTGTGGGTTTATACAGAATGTATATTCAGACTACTTTTACCATGTTAAAGGTGGATTGTATGTTTATATTTATGGAAAACATGATTTGTATTGTACAGTACAGATACAATAGTCTTTATCAGTCAGTGCTTTCCAGTTTTCCTGTGGCCTCAAAACATTTGCAGCTCATGGATTTCCAAAGCTGGAACCTCAGCACACTGAGAACAGGCTTTTGCAGAATCACAGAATCAGCTGGTTGGAGGGGACCACAGTGGGTCATCTGGTCCAACCTCCCTACTCGAGCAGGGCCATCCTAGTGCACATGGCTCAGGATTGCATCCAGAGGGTTCTGGAATATCTCCAGTGAGGGAGAATCCATGACTTCTCTGCGCAATCTCTTCCAGTGCTCAGTGGCTTGCATAGCAAAGAAGTTCTTCCTCATATTCAGGTGGAACTTCCTGTGCATCAGGTTTTGCCCATTACCTCTTGTTTTATTGGTTTCCACGAGTGAGAAGAGTGTGGCTCCATCCTCTTGGCACTTCCCATTCTTGTACTTGAATACATTAATGAGGTCCCCTCAATCATCTCTTCTCAAGACTGAACAGACCCAACTCCCTCAGCCTTTCCTTAGCCTTTGGCCATGTGTTTTGTGAGTCTGACACCTGATACAGTTCCTCAGGTTCCTAACCTTGGATTCTTCCTCTTATTCTTTGTATTGGAAATACCCAACTGCATTTTTATTTTTATTTCACAATATGTATCAGTGGTTCATTGTACAACATGTAGCTCTGACACAGAAGTAGGACATGGCGTTCCTATTATCAATAGGCATTAATCAGCTAATCTTAAAGACTCGTTTAAAAATAGGGCAGAAGTGCACACAGAATTGTGTAAGAGTATGATGACATCACATTAATCATTGGTCATTAATATCTATGGTCATAGATAGTTGTAGTAAATTACTTGGGAATTTCTTGGACAAAATGTACTCAGAGGTTGGGACAACATTTGGGAAAATACCACATGCTTTTCCTGGTTGTTCACATACTTTGCAGACAAGTTTCTGGGCTAAATTTCTACCCCTGTATTACAGTTAAACATGGAGATAGTGTCTCCAGGAATGTACCTTTTAACTGAGGCTATAGCTGTACAACTTTTTATTGCTTGCACAGTCCATGTAAGATTTTGACTATTTTCAGTCTCCCTGGTTACAGCTTGTCCACAGCAGCACAGTTGGTGACAGCAGATCAGTCTCAAGTTGGAAAGGGGTCAGCACTCAACTGTTCTGAGCAGTGAGGCCCAACTGAAATGTTTTAATTGATTAAGTGAAGCTTTGTCTAAAAATCTTGCAGGTGGGATGAAGTGATCAATTTAGACAACTGTAAAACACTCTCATTCATTTCACTTAATGAACTTAAAGATTTCTTCAAAATATTTATCATGATCTACCTTTGCATTCATTCCATTCTCTCCATGCTGCCTTTTAAAGGACCTGGGGTTACATTTGTCCCAGACTGGAGTACAAACAAAAGCTTTCGAGATGTGCAGCGTCCTGTGAAAATGAATGCCTGATACTAGTGCAGGGCTTTGCAGTTAAAGCACTGCAGTCAATAGATGTCAGTGAAGAACAAACATTTCTGTTCCTTTTGAAGCCAGCACTGCTTTCCTTTTAGCTTTGGCAGAAAGCCTGGCTGGCTGCAGAGCCTGCGCCAGATTTGACGTGTCTCTGGTGCCATGGGCTCTCAGGCATTTCCAAGGCTCCTTTCACTTATCATTGGGATTGGAAAGAGGCTGAAAGGAAGCAGGGCAGTGTAATTGGTGACTTCATGCTTTTCTGTCCCTGGGTTTTTTGCTCGAGCAGCTCTTGGTGCTCTGACTCGCTCCTAAGTGGGGCTGAGGTGCTGCAGCTCCTCCCTGCTTGGCCAAGATGCCTATTCTGTGGGAGCCCAGGAAGGGCAGTGTGCCACCATGCACACCCACTGGCTTTCCAAACAGTTTATCCTCTGCAGGACAGGTAAATGGATTCAGTAACAGGAGAACTGCCTCCTGTCAAAATTAATAGAGGAGATGCTGCACAATTGTCTGTTGGCTTCTGGTCCCTTGAAGAAAGGATTGTGGCCACCCATGAGACTGGAACTGGTGAAAGAGTGATACAACCACTCAGTCCCCTTCCCCCCTTTCTGAACATTGTCTTTCTGTGACCACCTTCACCCCCACACTCAGCCCTTTCCATCAGGTTTGATTCCTCCTGTCCCATCCCCACTGGGTTTTTACAGCAAGAGTGCCCTTGGCTCTTTGTAGTCTGTGACTGTCTTTCCTCTATTGTCTACTGGTCATGAAGCAAATCCCACAGAGATTCCTTCTGGGCCTCCAGGCTTACCTTCCCAGCTGACAGGTGGTTACAAGTAAACCCTTGTCTTGATCATCTGAGCATCTCTACTCAGATCCAGTGCAGAAACCCACGGATTGATCTCCTGCCCTGAGTCTTCTCTGTTTTCCTATGACTTCTGGCTTCAAAGATAAGCAGAACTGGCTCAGATTCCTTCCCGACTGTTCTTCCCACTTCCCGAGACTCATTTGCTTCTTCTACAAAGTGCTCCTGAAGCTATTGGAGTGATTTTTTTTCCCAGCCATTGCTTTCCTCAAATAAACTGTTTTAGGCGTCACTCATTGTATCAGAACTAGTGTGACTTAAATTCAGGTTGCTAAGGTGTTTACCTGAGCACAATTTTTAATCTGAGAGCTATTTTAGAAGATAATTGTGTGATGTTTTCAGGGAAAGGGTTCATCAAGCAAGGCCTGGAATTCATGTTTCCCTCTCACTAAAGTTCTGGGCTTCCAACTCCTCTGCTCTTTTTTATCTGTTTCATGTGAATATGCAATTATAAATTGCTAATAGCAATCTTCTTAAGACTGTTAATAAACTCACTTGCAAACTTTGCCCAAGGACACTTTGGCTTTTTTTCCATATTCAAAGGGCCAAAATAAATTTCTGTACGTAAAACGTTCAAGCATTTTCATTAGCTGATCTCTTGCATTTATTAGTAGTGGAAGAATGACAGCTGAAAGGAGGGTAACAGTGGTCCATGGAGAGGACATGGTTTGAGTGTCAGAAAAGCAAAGTAACACCAACTTCTGGTTTCCAAATGGGTTATTTGCATAAAGCAGTGCTCAGGGCAGCATCCCCCCTAAGTTGTGTTGAATTGGTAAGTACAAGGGACTGTGGTCTCACAGGCTTTTCTCTTGGTCTCTTTAGCATGTAATTTCTGTATCATTTGCACAGATGCAAAATCAGTAGGTCTTGATGTCATCTTGCACATGGAAGGTATGAAGTGAAAGGGCCATGTAAAGTGTGAAGTGTGTGTCTAGAGAGAGATTAGTGTTCACTAGATAAGGCTGTACCTCAGCACTTCAGAAACTACACACCCAGAGGATGAGCTTGCCTTACAGGTGTGTAGCTTCACAGCACACAGGAGTCAAAGCAGGGGAACCATGATGCTTGTCTGCAGGAGTTTCTTTTCCATCAGCTTTTGCTATGATTTTTCGGCCTGCTGATGCCTTGTAACTGTATGGTTGGGAAAGACTAGTTAAGGGGAGAAGAGTCCTTAAAGTCAGACTATGAAGAAATTGAAGGTGAGGACACAGAAGATACTTCATGGAACAATTCAGAAGAAAATCCTTCACTGAATTCCTACAACAGCCCCTCAGATGTGAACACAGACAGCTGATTCTGGGAAAACCTGTCTTATCAGGGCAGGGTAAATAAGTAAGTCGTGTTTGGATTAAGCTGTCTCTGAGTTGTGGTTTGTTTACCACAGTGGAGTTGTTGACTTCTGTTGCACAAGGACTGTGAACTAAAAGGGTTCTCATCAAAACACCAAAAACAGTCATTTTGCAGGAAAAAAGTCCAATGGAAAAACAACACGTTTATTGTTTCCCAGCACATGGTGCATAAATTTACTTTGATTTACATCACTTGCTTTTAAAACACAAACACTATTCAGTTCCTAGCCCAGCAATAAGTTACAGCAAAGAACTATGTATTATAAAAAAGAAGAGACAGTTTGTTAACAGACTTCACTTCAGACCTTCAAATACACAGCAGCAGTTTTCAGCTTCCTAATCAGGTGTAACATGATGTATCATGGCATGAGCAAGTCTGGGGACAAATTTTGGGCCATTTTCTTATGGTCTGTTTTCAGACTTTTTACATATTCAGTTTCTTATAGGTTTGGGTTTTGTTGTTTGGGTTTTGTTCTTAGTATCTTGGGTAAAATTCCTAAGAAGCATGTTCATATCCCCCTTGGATCAAAAAAAAATAAATAAATGAAGTAAATTTGGTCATCAAAAAATGAGTCTGACACCTGACTCTGTAAAACTATATAGGTCTGCCTGCTGAGAACTGAGTTCATCTCTGGCACTGTGTCAGAATTTTCCTGTCCCCAGCAATATCATGTTTACAATGCTTTCTATTGGATGCATTATAAACTGAATGGGAATGCCCATTTGGAATTTCCCACCAATTGCTCTATGTATGTTTGTTGATAACTGCTTATTGTTCTTCATGTGGAGTCAAATTTCATAGATGAGACATTTTGCCATCTTGCTGAGTTTCATTTTCTCGTTAAATATCTCCTCAAACCTACGATTCTGCTTTGGAGTGAAATGATTCTTCCAATCACCAACAGCACCTAGGAGAGCAGGAACAGAAAGAACAGTGAGGCTAGCAATATATGGAGCAGAAAGGGATTTAAAGGCAGCCCAGTGTTGTTAATATTGCAGCTGGAACAGAATATATTCTTAACCACAGTCGCTGTGGTAGGTCAGAATCATGAGTAATTGCTTTACTGGTCTTGTGAGACTCTGCTGTAAGCAGCTGGATTTTCATCCATAAAGGCTGTTAAATCCTCAGCCTCAGAGTTGATTAGTATCCTCAACACTAAGTGCTGGATGAAGAACAGGAGGTTTCCAAGAAGGAATTAGAACACATGGTCATCTCTGCAGAGAGGTATCTTGCATGTGCAATGCTCCAAAGACCCTGCATCCCAAAACTAGCTAAAATAGTCATCCCACTTTCTGACTAAAATAGCATTCAGTCAGAAAGGACATGAAAAGAGAGCCTGAAGAATAATCTATACATAATACATACATATAAATCTTCTGTAAACTTGCTGAAACTAGTTAAACCTCTGGGATTTGCATAGGAACTACTTGGAAGTGAATCTGTTGGGCTTTTTCAGAATTTTCAAACTATCTTTGTCAAACTTCATTGACATAGAAAAATGTATCTCATTCATTTGTTTCTTTTTTACTGACAGATTGTATTTTGGCATTTGTTTCAGCTCATTGGTAAAAACATTCTGAATTAGCAGAAGGTACCATTCCCTATTTATTAATTGAAAAAACTCTCTGTTTAAAACTGTCAATTACTGGTCAAAAATTAGCCACATAAAATTAATCAAAAGCCATGTAAACATGATAGGTTTGAATTACTAATTATCCAAATCTGGGGAATCTTTTGAAATGTCAAGAACAAGAAAACAGCTCCTGCATATATTTTAAAGTCACATCTGAGCTGAGCACTGTGGAAGATTTTCCCATGGATTCCAGCTTGGCCAAGGTCTGAAGGCTACCTATGACCATTCTTTTGTAGTTGTCATTGTCTGTATGTTCCTTTTTCAGGAACATTTCAATAGGATAAGAGGTGATATGGAGTATAAAAGCTAGGAGCAATCCTAGTCAGAAGGAATGTGTCTTGCCTTTTCTTGTTCTAGTAAACTAAGTGACCTTCACAGGTGATATCAGAAAAGACTGTTGTAAAAGACTGAGGTGGTCAACTTTTAGATAAAAAAGGACAGATAAAGAGTGATGCTGCGTGTTAAAGACAGATAAAGAGTGAACCTTTCCTTTTAGCTCAACAGTTCCCACAGAGCAATATTAGTCAGGCTGTTGTTCAGACTCCTCTGTGCTTCTCTAGCACGATTTACATTTGCAGCCAGAGAACTTAGCAAGAAAGTGGTGTTTCAGAGGGCTTCAAATTGAAGAATCCTGTCACAGCTTCCCAGGGCTGACCCAAAGTGTCACTACACTCCAGGAAATACCTGGACTCCCACTCCTTCTGCTGTGTTAAACACAAAGCAATTTACCTTTTCGGAAAATCAGATTCCTGTTGGATGTCAATGAACACACGGTGTGACTGGGATCATTGTTCTCCTTTTCTGTGTCACTTTTCATCTCTGAGAACGAGGACTTCTTGCAGATGTCTTGGATAACATTGTCACTGACATTTAAACTCAAGAACAAAGTAATTTCCTTTACAACCTTAGGGAGATCCTGAGGTACAAAAAAAAAAGCTTTTATATATCTGAGCTGATCATCAGACTTTTAGCTGTTTTGAAAATTATGTTTTCTATTACATGCCAAGTTTGTTATGCATTGTTTGCTTTCAAACAAAGCTAAATATGTCATCAGACTGTGTACAGATACAGTAAACCTGATTCCCCTCTTACCAATACTCACAGAAATTAATAAATGCTGAGTATATCATATTGTTACATTCCCAATTTTACTTCCAGTTCAGGTAAAATTTTCTCTCTCAGAATTATTTCACTGGAAATAGAGAAATACTCAAACAGCTTTTTACACAGCTTCTGTGTAAAAGTGGCTTATTTCACTGAAGATGCTATAACTAGAGATCCAACAAGTGACTCGGGATCCAGAATGGTTTGTTTATATTCTTCATAGTGGAATTATCCCTCCCAAATTAAACAAACCTATTTTATTGGAAACACTAGGAAGTGTTTTCTATTCTCACAAAAATTTATTCTTTGAAAGCTAAGGTATGTTGGTATTTTACTATTAAGAACAGCAAAGCAGTGCCCTTCCATCAGAACTCATTTTCTACCCCTCCAGCTTCTAATTTTCTTATTTATTGGGAGCACAAGTCCAAATGACCATGAGTAGTTCTGTTGTCTTACATCAGTCTTTGAAAATTTCACCTGAATATAGCCTAGCAAATTAATGTGCAGCTCTCAACAGATGTCCTTGGTTGGTCTTTCCATAGGACCAAGAGAGATGAACTTGAAATTTTCCCTGTAGCCTGGGGAAAATTATGTAATATGAGTCCCATTTGTGCTTCTAAGAACTGCAACTCTCCCAGGATTTGATATTTATATAACTTGTGCCGTCAGAATTAGTTCACTAATATAATGTTCTATGCAAATGTAAAATATGCCCAAAGACATACATTCACATTTTCCTTCTCTCTCCTTTTTAATTATAGTCTCCTCTTTGATATGCTAATGATGCTAATTCACAAGTAATGCTTTCTGACCCAAGAGCAGAGAGCATATTTACCTTCTGCATGTCTTCATAGAACAAAAATAGGATGTTTTTGTCATTTTCATGCTCTTCCCAACTTAGGAAATGATCAAACCAGGATCCACAGACAACTGAAAAGAAAACCCAGGTAAAAGAGATTCAGATATACTATTCATGAATAACTCTGATAGTACCTCACCCATTCAGGGGAATGATGCCTTCACAGCAAGTACCCTGTATTCCTCTGGAACAGATACAGTTCTTGTCAAGTGACTCAAACTTCCAATCCAAAGAGGTTACCATTCTTGTTGGAATTCATTTTCATATCAGAGTTGCATATGCTATTCTGAGATATGACTCAGTATTGGAAACAGGCTCCAAATCTAAGGAAAGGCCAATAATGAAGGAGAATGTCCTGGCCTAACAACATCTGAACATCTCAGCAAATGACTGCATGTTTGTGGTCACAGCTAGGAATATGAGCACTTCACCAGGGAATTAAGTAAGGATTCTGTTAAATGGAGCACACTGTTGTTAGCTCTCTTTTGTCCCAGCAAAAGGGAATCTGTATTATTTTTAAACACCAAAGAATTATGTAAAGAACTACTGCAAATACATCATTCAGTCGATGATACAGATAAAACATTTATAGCTGACTCACAGTACTTGTTTTGTCTGAATGCTCCTCTTGCTGAACCATGGGAGGACAGTTAAATTTCAGCTTTCTTTTAAAAATCAAAATTCTGACCTTCACCTCTTACATACATTTCTGTTGCAACCAACATAGTTATCTATTTATGCCACATGTAATCACACAGAAAATGTAAGGTGGCTAATAATTTACAGGTAAATGGGAGATGCTTTTAAAATTTAATCATAGAATCATAGAACAGTTTGAGTTGGAAGAGACCTTAGAGATCATTTAGTTCCAACCCCCTGCCATGGGCGGGGACCCCTTCCACTAGACAAGGTTGGCCAGAGCCCCATCCAACCTGGCCTTGAATAGAATCTGCTTTTCTTTTTTTCACTATTGTATGTTCAGAATTGACACTAAAAAAGCCAAGATCCTGCAAATCACTGAAGCACAATGCGTTAGGACTACTCTGAACTAGATCTGAGCCAAAGCCCAGAGAAGGCAGTAAAAAAAGTGACTTCTGGAGTTCTGATGTGAGCCCACGATGGCTGTAATGGCACTTTTCTTTCAAAGTTTTCGAGCTGATCAATTGTTATAGCTGTTATCGTCATTATGGTGACATATGTTCTCAAAGGAGTAATAAAACACTAAAAGTGGGAGTGGATACCTGGAACAAGGTCCTGTTGTCAGCTTCCATCCCACCACTCATAAAATCTCACTCTTGTCCTTGCTCTTTGGACCCCACTGCTAAGACAACACATCAGGCAGTGTGTGTGCAGAGGGGCTTTAAAAACATGTCTAGACTCCTTTGAAGGGCTGCCCAGGGCTGTCTTCAAGGCTGGAGTAGGCACTAGAGCTGCAGTCAGAGCTGCCAATGCAGCCTGGTCATGCTCTCCTCACATGCCCTGTTGCCTGAACTTTGGCACAGGTAGAGCACCCACAGCACTGCTCTGCTCACTGAGGACAGGAGCTCAGCTGCCCTCACATCTGCTCAGAGGAGCTCTACACACAGACCTCCTCTCTCACAGTTTAAACATGAGTTCTTGGAGGGAAGCAGTCTGTTATTGTGGTTCACATAACACAAGCAAATCCACATCAGATTCAGCAAATAGTCAGGGCTTGCAGAGTGTTCATGGGAAGAAATTAAATCAGTGTCTTGTCTGGGAAAATACCTTTTTTTCTAACAGATACGTCAAAGAACAGCACAAACCTGCAAAGATCAGTTGTGCTGAAATGATGCAGCTGCTTATCAAAATGTCTCCTTGTAGGTCTGAAGAGAGCACTCTATTATTTGCTCTTGTTTAGTATGGCATTAGAATTTATCCTGAGACCCCCACTCCTAACCCCCTCCCCTCAACTACTGCCATATGAATAAAGATTTCAATAAGGAACTTTCACACAGTTCACATTTCTTAACTGTTTCTGTGGGTAAGCTAATGTAAACTGCAAGCAGAGAGCATTAATCCTTACCATTTCCTTTTAAGAACACGTCCAAGAAAGCAGTCCAGGTGTCTATAGTGGGAAGGTTTGGGTTCTCCCTGTAGTAATGATACATGGAAACTGCAATGTCTTTTGGATTTCTGCTGATGTAGATCATCTGTAAATGAAGATGATATGTTTATTAGTGATAATATCCTTCCTTACTTTTAGAAAAGCTCTGAGTGTAAATATAGCATTTTCACAGGCAACTTGCAGTGTCAAAACCCTTTCCTTTAGGATTCTTCCTTTGGTGACTGTGCCATTTAATTAGAAATGTATTTGACTCTTCTTAGGCAGGAATCTGTAGTGGTTAGTAAACAATTCCATGTGGTCAGAGGTGTTTTTGCTACAGCTGTGTAATGTTTATGTTTTGTGAGAGAGCCTGTGTTAACTCTGAGTTGTGAGTCAGTGTACTACCTCTTACACCTCACATATGAAAGTATTTAATTATTAACATTCACAGGACAGCTGCAAAGCATGACGTTTGGCCTTTCATTCAAATTAGCTTTGTCCTAAAAGTCTAGATCTGAGTAATCCTGAAATCTTGGACTTTTAAGATAAATTCTGAACCCAGAACTTAAAGACCTCCCACATTCACATAGGAGGAGGAACTGGTGTAGTGGAAGGTGTCCCTGCCCATGGCACAGGGGTTGGAACTAGGTGATCTTTAAGGTCCCTTCCAACCCTGGTTGATTCTATGATTCTATGAACTCAAAACTGTGATCTGAATCTGCCTCCCGATTTTCATTTCTCCTCTGTTTGCCCAATATCTTTGTGGATTCTTCACAAAGCTTCACCAGGAGGGGCAGAGTACCTTCAACGCCAGAGCAGCCTGTAAGTACCCGAGGTAACTGTTTTCTAAGACACTAGGAAATGGGGTCATGAGAACACTCTCAATAACAGATTTCTGATTGAAAGTTGTTGATTATCTATTTTGTGTGGTTCCTGGTATACAAATCACTCCATGGGAGCAGTGGGGGAGGAGCTGAACTCAGCCCCTAGTCCAAGTCTCTGCTCATGCTGCCTTCAACTGCTGGTCAGCTGTGACTCCAAAATTCACAGCAAAGCACTTCTGGAAACTAGAAATCATTCCCAAAATATTAATGATCAACAGGACAAAATAGACACTTAATATGTCTTATTGCTTTTATATCATTTATACCTTACCTTGCATTTCTTGTTCTTAAAATTTGCAGGTAACATGTTGTAGTCTAAGTGTGTTGGGATGATTCTCTTTGATGACATTTTATTCAGCTCCTCTAGGTTGGAAATGTCTCCAAGTTCAATGGGAGATGTTATTGTAACTTGAGTATCATAAAGCTTTTTTATAACTCCTGCAAGCCAGTGGGTGCCTGCAGAGAAGCAATTTTAAGAAAACATAACAAAAAAAAGGAATATTTATTACTAACAAAATATGTGGAACATACAATTTTCCTATGGAAACAGCTTGCTAGTGAACAAGTGATACTTCAATCCCCCACATTCAAGAAACTTTACATGACTGAAGAATCCCATTGGTTCCAAATCTATAAACACTTGAAAAATTAGGGCTGTAGCTGAAGAACAAAGTACCTTTGTGAGAAGTGTTAATGTTGGTACCAAAACAATCTAATTAGACAAATGTCTTGTCAGATGAGAGGTAGTTATATTATCGTATCATTTATTTTAGCATAACCTGTGCAGGTTTTTTTCCTTGTAATAACTTGAGTCTATGTATCTGGAAAATACTGATGGAGCTTCCTCTTTGGTGTGTACTTCCGTGCAAGAGAGGCAGCTGGAGGGGGATAAGAAATTAATAAATCTACAGCCAAGAGCATACAAACTCTCCATACAACTCCTGACTTGCTCACAACTGAATGCAGAAAGCCCTCAGGAAATGCAGATTGTACTTACAAGTAAGGGATATTTATTTGCTTTCCAGTATGAAAACACCTGAGATTATTTTCAGTTGCAAAATCAAAATTTAGGTATATGACCCATATTTTTCTCAATTTGAACACTTACTGACAGAATAAGATATTTACATACTCAAACATCCTTTCCTGGTTCCTGTACACAGACATTTTCAAGTAGTTTAAGCAGAGAGCATGAAACACACAATTGAGACTTCTTGTAATTAACAATTAAAACTAGAACTTACCAGATTTGGGGTAGGAAACCAAAAGGACATCATCTTCTCTAGCATCAAAACCATCCAAGGATTTTAAAAGTTCTGGAGAAGACCTGGTGGTAAAGGGAATCCCTTTAAAGATGTGGATGAGCTCTGCCTCAGTGGGGTTGGACATGGCTGGGAATTGATGAGGACTTAAGAGTCACTTCTTAGTCAGATGGTTTGAAGTGACAAATCGAGACCAAGCAGTACAAACCTCAGGCTTATATACTTTCCTACACTCTGTGAAGTCCTATCAGATACTGATTTGTCCTTGTAGTTGATAAAGGCAACTGAAATATTAGAGATAACAATAAATAACTGAAATGCAACGTCATGAAAAATGTCTTCTGGTTTTTTTTGTCATTTATTGGCTCTCTAGATAAAACAATGAGGTAATGTTCAAAATGTAATTGTGGAAAATAACAAGAGTGAACTTGTTACTTGACTATGTTGTGTCACCTTAAAATATGCTTAATGTGATTATTCTATAAGTTATTCTTTGTTAGAAGTTATTTTACCTTCTAAGGAAAAAACTGCACCTTAAAATACTTTTTATTAATACTCAAAAAAAAAAAAATCTTATTTTATGTGAATAAAATATTTTCTGTTTCATTTTATGAAATCTACAGCAGCCTGAAATTTCAAAAGTGTAAATTGATTCCAAGTGCTTGAATTTTGTAGTGTTAAGGAACTAGTGTTTGAATTTGAGCCTGAAGAGACTCTTAGAGGCACAATCAGTTTAAGGTGTCATATGGCTCCATAAGACAAGTGTAAATAGCAAAAAGCACAAACTTAAAATAGATATTTAACATTGGATTGGATCCTGCATGTTTCATGACTAGAAATACTTGGAGATTTTTAAATCTTTCCCCAGAATAAGCAGATTCATAAAAATAAAAGCCACTTTCTGGAAAGAGACAGTTCTTCATTAATGACCTGTTTTCAAAGTGGGTTATTTTTTATCTTTGAATTGGTAGAAATTGTCATTAATGTTTACAAACAGAAAACTCCACTTTTATTTAAAGTGACCTTAAGTAATGTGAGTGCACCACAGTAAAAAAATAGCAGTTTTGAATCCAAACATTGTAGAATGCTTAGCATTTTCAGTTTTCCTTTCAATGGCCACATATTAATTTACTCTGTTTTAACATTCTTTTCCTCAAACATTCAATGGCTTCACTATTCCTATTGAAAACCTCCTACAATATATTCAACTGAGGCACTTCAATATCATCAACTCGAAAACCTTCATGCAAATCTTGCTTTAAAATGAAGTAGTCCTTGAGGAAATTCCCTAGTTTACCAATGTTCCAGTTCTCTTTTTTTTATCATAAATAATGACTTAGGTTTGGTCATAGGGGCTAACTCCAAATGTACTCCCACAACCCCTGCTAAGAAATTAATAAATAGATATACCCTTCCAAGAAACACCTGAGCAGTCAGGATCGCTCACAAGGAGTAAGGACAGTTATCCACTTCTGTGCTTGCTATTTTCTAATTCAATCTCCAAGAAAGCCAGCCAAAATGATTGATTTTTCTCTGCTCCTTTCTTTTTGTTGCAGTATTGCCAATCTGCCACTCAAAGAGAAGTGATCTTCTCTCCTGTGCTGCCTACAAAGTTGCCCTTAAACATTTATCACCTGCAAAATGTGCCTTGTTCCACCAGTAAACTCTGCATTCCAGTTATGCAGGGCCAGATGGGATTGAAAATCATGGAAAATATGCTCTGGAGAGATGTCATCACTTAGGGATGAGAGGGGATGGGGGAGTCTTTCCAGGAGGTAACCAAGTGTCTGAGTGAGGGTACCAGAAACACTTGGCTACTGGGGCTCAGGTAGGAGTTAGGGGATCCCTCCGTGGTGAGAAGCTCAGCATTCTCCTCTTGCTCCAAGACTGAACATCTAAACCATCACTTCTTACCTTAAGATGTAAGTACTTTAAAATCTATTCTCTCTCAACAGATTTCACTTTGGTTACTTCAAGTATACAAAGTATGTTTCAAGACGTAAAGATACCTGTTTCTGTGTTATTCTGAATGTCTGTATTAATCTGAATACAGAGATTTCCAAGGTTTATTTTGCAGTCATCATTCCAGCCATGGGCAAGTAGCATGAGCTAGTAAAACTTTACTGCTTTGACCTGACAGAAATAGTCTTATTGCAAAATGGTTTGCAATTAGGCTCATTCCCTTTCATTTCCTCCTGCATTCCTAGTATGTTTTGAGTCAGCACATTTGCCTAAGCTAATTACTTGGACCTGTATTAATCATTCACAACAGAAATTGCTAAGGTGTAAAACAGAAGCAAGCCAGCAGCCAAGAAAATTCCAAAACTTTTAACTCAACTGCTTTCTGTGCCAGTTTCTCTTTTCAGCATTGTGCTGGTTTGGGCTGAAGTAGAGTTAACTTTCTTCACAGTGGGTAGTATGGGGCTATGTTTGGGGTTTGTTCAGAGCACAGGGTTGATAATGTAGAGATGGTTTTGTTGCTGCTGAGCAGAGCTCACACAGAGCCAAGGCCTTTACTGCTTTCTGTACTGCCACGCTGGCAAGGAGGTTGGGGGGTGCATGGGAGACTGGGAGGAGATGCAGCTGGGACAGGTGACCCAAACTGACCAAAGGGATATTCCACACCATATGACATTATGCTCAGAATATAAGGTGGGAGGAAGAAGGAGGAAGGGGGAACATTTGGAGCGATGGTGTTTGTCTTCCCAAGGAACCATTACACATGATGGGCCCTGCTCTCCTGGAGGTCGCCAACACCTCCTGCCTGTGGGAAGCAGTGAATTAATTCCTTGTTCTGCTTTGTTTGTATGTGTGGCTTTTGCTTTCTCTATTAAACTGTCTTTATCTCAACCCGTGAGTTTTTCTAGCTTTTACCCTTCTGATTCTCTCCCCCATCCCATTGGTGGGGGAGTGAGCAAGTGGCTGCGTGGTGTTTGGTGGCTGCTGGGGTTAAACCACAAAAAGCATGTATAATATTAATACAAGGGAATGAGGCTGAAATTTGTCCTCCTTAAATGCTGCTTTACTTGGAAAATAAGGCTTACCCCTGCAAGGGTATAGTATCCTGAATTACAATAACTCAAGGAAAAAGAGAATATTCAGCACCTTGCAGGAAAAAAACTGTTATTAAAACCATGCTAGCTGCATTGCCATAAGAAGTACATTATTACAGCTCCATTATACTAAGAGAGCACTGGCTTAAAGGACATCATGTCAAATCCTCCATCCAGCTTTGATTTTCTTCTTTATCAGTGTATATATATTTTTTTCTTTTTTAATTTATGTATACCAGGATTCTGGTATCTACTGCCTGATCTCTGCAACTGACTCAGAGCTTCTCCCAGCATCAAGTTGTCCCTGTCCTGGTCTCTGGCTCTGCTATCTGTATTGATGGAGTGCACGTTACCAGCAGGTTTCACAGCAAGAGAGCAGTGTTAAACTTGGAGTTTGGGGTTTCTCCATGATTTGAGCAAAATCCAGCTCAAATGAGCAGCTGAATTAAGTACTTCTGGGCTGCTCAGACCCCCATCCAACCTGCCCTTGAACACTTCCAGGGATGGGGCAGCCACAACTTCGAGTGTTGTTCATGTCCATAGGTATCTTTTTGTCCTCTGTTTTGGTGTAGTGACTCTTCCTGTGCTCCACAACTCCTCATTCCACACAGAGGAATGATCTGATTGCTGGTGCTGACACAAACACCAAGAGCCCAGCCTTACCACAGTGCATATCTTGGGCTGTCTCCTGAATTGTCACCAGAGTAATTTTCTGCTTGGGATGTGCTGCTGGTTTAAATTGCTTCTGAGCTCTTTTGGGGGTCTTGCCACCCCACTGCAGACTTCATGGGGTACCTTGGGAAAGAGGATGATGGCTGAGAACTGAACTGACTCCAATTCATTATTGTTCCTGGTTGTCTGGTGAGCTGACAAGTCCTTAAGTGATTAAGAGAAAAGATTTAGATTTAGCTGAGGCACCTGGGAGAACAGAAAAAATTCACTTCTAGGGTTTCAATGGCATCCCTATTCATTTGAATGTTACAACTGAAGTGTCTCTTTCAAGTTTATAATCAATGACTATTTAATAGAGACAGCCTGCAAAATGTTGGATACAGCATGAGTGCTTGGACTGTTTGGGAAGTTAGGCCTCAGTGCCTAGATGTTGATAGTTTAGGAACCTAACCCTTGGTTTCTATGTGGTTTTGAAAAAAAAAAAAAACAGTTCCAGGGTGGATGTAGAGCTGCCCACAACACACCAGGACTCAGCTGAGCTGTAGTAACTCTCCCTTGGTGAGTTGGTCCCAGCTGTCAGGAAGAGTGACTTTGCCAAAACAGCTTTACTGGAATGGGCATTGAATTGCTTTACACTTTCTACAGCAGTTCTCTTCCTAGTAGTCTTTCTTAGCAGTGACTCAGTGCTTTCAGAGAAGCTTCCCTTCATTAACCCATAGTTCAACAGAACTTTCAGAGAAGCTTCCATTCATTAACCCATAGTCCAATACTAATCAAGCACTATGAATTAACAACTCTGATTTCAGAGCTTTCTGACTTCATAGACATTGCTATCTGTAGCAGCTAAGCCTGCATTAAGGTAATACTGTAAAGGAGGTCAACTCTATGTCTAGACTTATATTGTATTTATGGCATAGTTTATAACATTCATGACCTTCTTTTATCCCTCTTACAACAAATCATTGCCTGAGGATATTTTGTGCCACATCCACAGCTGATACAGCTAATCAATCCTATTGCTGCCAGCAGAGCTGTGCCCCTTGAAGAACTGGCAGGCAAATGCCATCACTGAGGTCACTGCTACCTCTCCACCTCCTGCCCTGCAATTGCACGTGATGGTGCCTTCAGGACATGAACACATACTTAAGGAAGACATGAAGGGGCACCAGGGGGTGTGGGGGAATTGGTTAAAAAGAAAATCAAATGAGCATTTTAACCTTCATTGGTCCGAAAAAGATGATGCTGTGTGCATGCAGGAGGGCTCAGCCAGGTAAACCCTCTCCCTGGCAAGTACTTTTATGTCAGGGTGGAACACTCCTAATCTCCAGGGTAAGAGGAGAGGCCACAGACTCCTAATTTTTAATCTGCTTATCTTTATTGGCATATCTCATGTGGAGGTTTA